ATTTGTAGGCTTTAAAGAAAATATGGCTCAATAATTTCAATTTATAAAATGAATTTTGGACATTCGTATAAGAGCAGGTGCATTTAAATTATCAGAACATACAACCTCCTTTGGCAGTCATATTTGTAGTTTATAGTGAAAAAGCGATGCCGTCGTCGTCGTGTTTCTCTCGCCCTCTCTAGCTGTTTCGTTGGAAACATTACAATTCAGTTTCTAGTTTTAAAAGACATACGCAAATTAGAGGGAAGAGAGAAAGATCAAACAATGTCAAAGGACAATAGAAGTTTTTTTTTGTCTTCAAATACAGCTAGTGGAGATCAGAGGTGAGGGAGGAGGCTTTAGTCCGACGATGTTATTTCCACGCGAATTATTAATCTTCGTTATAAATTAAAGGCAGACAATTGGAAATTTCGTTCATACATACATATTATTTCCGAAACATATACAATGAATAAGGAAGTATGAAGAAAAGAATTAAAGAAAGAAAATGTTCAAGAATAAAGATGTTGAGAAGTTTAAAAAACAATAAAAAGTAGAAAGATGGGAGAAAAGAGAAAGTTCCCCAATGGAATGAAATCATTTATTGAAAGGTAACGAAGAAACAAAAAAAAAGATTTTCTTTTATAAAAAAAATGTTATTTTTCATTGGGTGAGACTATGACTATACTACTTGATAAATGATACAGATATTATAAATTAGTTATTGTATAAATAAGAGAAATAAAGATATATATGAGTTTTGATTGGTTAATGACTATGTTAAAAGATGGGATATTATTAGAATAATTTAAAGAAAAAGGGAAAAAGTATGTTGTTGATAAATGATTTTAAAACTTATGTGAGTTAGAAGAGAGCTTAAGAGATAAAACTATTGATGAGCTAGTAGACGGAGTTGACGTAGAATGGTATCCAACAATTTCTTACGATCTCCTTTATTAATTCCAAAGAAGCCTGTATTTTTCTTTTCAAACTCTATCATTCTGCAAACCGGTATTCATTAATATCATAATTACTATGTATACTCACTTTTCGAGGAATGTTATTGCTACTGTAGCTTTCACGCGCGAATATTTTGCAGACTCTTGCCCATATTCTGCGATGTATGTTGCCCAATCAGAGTGCATTACTAAATCCAATAATTGACTGAAATTATATGTTTCTGTTTCTTCATCCATTATAATTATT